TTAAAAAAAAAAAAAAAAAAAAAAAAAAAAAAGTCTAAGATTGCTATAATGGCTTCTCCAAAGTAATCATTTTTTGTGTTCAATTCCCATTTTGAATCGATATGGTTTGAAATTTGGTGCAGGTAGGTGGTTTTGTTTATGGGAGGGGCAAATTGGTCAAATTTCTTTTGATTTTTTAATTACCGAATTTCAACCGAATCACTTATCTTCAAATTTTCAACTTCTAATTGATACGACAAAAACCTAACCAATTACTTCAATTCTTCTGTCTTCCAATTACATTTGGGGATAAAAACAATTTTGTTTTTTTGTTTTTTTCGGTTGAATAATAACTAATTTATTATCTATATTTTCAACCGTGGTCCAAATCCACGACTCGTATTACTGTCAGCTTCATAATTTTAAAATGCATTTTCAAACCTTAAGGAATGGTTCGTTCCACTCTCCAACCGATGAGGAACCTTACAATCCACCTCTCTTGGAAGCTCAACGTCCTCGCGGGCACACCACTCAGTGTGTACCTATAATATCATTTGTAACAACCCAAGTCCACCATTAACAAAGACGGTCTACTTTGACCTCATGGTTTTAAAACACATATTCAAGAGAGTGGCTTTCACACTCTAAAAAATACTTTATTCCCTTCTTCAACTCACGTGGGACCTCATAATCCAACTCTCTTAGGGACTTAACGTCCTTCCTGACACCATTAGTCTCATGGTTTCAAAACACGTTTTTAAGGAAGAGATTTTCACACTCTAAGGAATGTCGATGTGGAATCTCACACAAAAGGACTAAAAAGGGTAAAAAAAAGTAAGTTCGATTCCTTATTAAACGAACATATAATAGAACGACACCTAATAAATCTGGAGAGACGTCGTAATGATTTGATATATAGCTTTATAATAATGGGGCTTAATAATAATAGTCAAAGGCTATCTCCCATCTATTTTACTTAGAGAAACAAAATGAGATGACAGATCAATCATGGGTCCCATGAAATCCAAGCAATCAATTGGTAATTTGATTGATAAGAAGGCCATTATAGAGTAAAATTCCATGAAACTAACCGATCTTTACACTAATCAAATGCCCATATCTCTCTTTTATCCAACCATATCCACTTTCAATTTGAATTTGTTATTAACGATTTACGATTTTATTCTTAATCAAATCGAGAATAAGAATAAGATTTTTAAGTAGAAAAGTGGTTTAGGCAGAAAGATTCTGACAACTTTGTTCAACAAAAGATCAAAAGGGCGTGAAAAATAAAATCCATAATTAAAAGGAAACGTGATCTTATTATTCTCTAATATAAGTAATGTTTAGTAAACTTTTTAAATGGAAGGTTTAGATTCTCGTAGATTTGTATTTATTATACTAAAAATAATTTTATTTAAAATTTAGTAATTTATAAAAAAGATTAATATTATTAATATATGAGTACGTCCTTTTCAGGTCCTATTCCAAAGGCACGATTTTATTTAATAATATGGTCATAAATTTAAATAGGGACGGGTGAATATTGAAGGCGTGGGCCAATTTTTTAATTATATAAATACAAAATTACTTTATTTTTTTTTTTAATGAAGATTTTTCTTTTTGAAAAATATTTTTTTATTACTTTATGTTGGGAGATTACTAGTTTATTAAATATGAATTAACTTTTTAACTGTTTGAGAAAAAATAAAAAATAAAAAATAAATAAAAAGTTATAATTTTTAAAATGTTTTTGGCAACTTTTATAAAGGCGTAATGCATGCCTCGGATTCTCGTGTGGGATTGGCGTTATGTTATAAAAGAGGAAATAAAAAAACAATATAAAATGAAAAGGGTATTTTGGTAAAAAGAGGACACACAAGTGGACATGGAAATACTAGTTTTGGCTGTTCTCTCATCTTTTGTATGTGGCCTTTTCCATCCAAATGCCATGCCCTTACCTTTATTCCCACTTTTGTCCCTTCACTATTTGTCCCTTTTTGTATTTACAATTATTTCCTGTTCAATATCATATTATATATATATATATATATACTTTTTTAAAAATTATATTTTCCCTATGAAAATTGATTTTATTTTTCAAATTCGTAGTGTTTATAATAAAGTATAAATGAATTTAAATTTTAAATGCGCATTTATTAACATAATTAATAAATATTTCATCAGATCGAAATTTTATATTAATAAATAATATTTGCATTTGAGAGGCTCAAGAGTATTACCAATAATATTATTAAACGGATAAATTTTAAATAATTAATTATTTTATTTTTTATTAAGTAAAGTTATAATAATCAAATTTCACTTTAATTTTAGATTTTAAATTTATTTAGCAACTAAACTTAATAATTGAAAACTATTGGTATAATAATCAAATTGAAGATTAATAATATAGGTTATAATTCAAAAAATTAAATAGGGTATAATAAAGTAAATATATTTACAAATCTTATATAATTAAGGTAAATCATTAATAAAAACAATAACAAAAAAAGCAATTCATGGAATATGTATAAAAATGGAATGATTTTATTAATTATAGTTTATTATTATTATTATTAATTTTAATTGAATGAGTTAATTATGTTCATATATTAATGGGTAAGCTATCGGTCTTAATTAACAATTAATTGACTATAAATAATCATGTAATTAGCTATCATAATTGAAAATCAACTTTATTTTATGCCCAATTAACTAACCCTACTTAATTCATTATACTGAATATTAGCAAATTAATTAATGATTTAATTAAATAATTAGTTATATTAATTTTGGTAAATCTACAAAATAAAATCAACGACCAAACAGCCACAAAAATAAAGTAGGGCAAATCAGTTCGAGTGCCCTTGACTTTCCCTTATTGTATTCACAGCAAATCAACGGTTCTCAATGACCCGTTATAGCCGTTGATCTTGATTACTTTTTTTTCCTTCAGGGGTTTGACTTTACAAATATATATATATTTGTAATCTTTCTCACGTTTTGGATCCTTCAAATTTTATTTGATGCACTCGGTTTCATACTTCCAATTTTCCTGTTGGTTGACTTCCCCCTTTGACTTACAATAATAATTCAACTTAATTATTAATTAATCATAAGAAAAATAAATTTATTGAAATTTCAATATATATTTGAACAAAAATAAAATAAAAAAAAATGGAATATTAGGATTATTTATTATTCAAACATGGAGCATCTAATCTATCTATCTATGAGGGTATTTGTGTTCGATTTTCCTCGCACTATCTATAAAAATTCTGTGGCCCAAATAAATCAATTAAATTAAATATTCCAAAAATAAAATAGATTTTGTTCATTTTAAATAAGGTGTATGTACGGCCAATTTTGGATTCACCCTAATATTTAAAATTTATAGAGCCTAAATAATTAAATTTTAATTTATATCTAATTACACGTCATCTTCCTTAGTAATAAAATATAAATATTTATTTTTTAATATTCAACAAACTAAATAAAAAATATGTGTTTTTTTTTTTTAATTTTAAATGGTTGCCTAAATTATGGAATCCAAAAATGAAAAATCAAACAATAATAATTTTTTTAAAAAAGGGTCCCATAAACTATTATTATTAATAATACTAAATAAGATTGTTTGCTAGACAAGTGTATATAGTTGAAATGTCGTATTTTCTTTGATGTAATAATTATAAATATATTAATATATATGATTTTAAATTTGGTTAAAAGCCAATTCAATGAGGATTTAAAAAAAAAAAAAAACCAAATACGTGGCGTGTATTCACTGGTCAAATCCAACTATGACGGCATAACCAAATCTAAAGTATAAAAGAAAAAGTAAAGTAAAAAGCTAAAACCATTGTTTAGGGATTCTTTTTTATTTTCCTTTTGCTATTATATAATTTAAATCTTAAATTCTTTCCTTATCCAAATCACATTCGAACATAGAGTGTTATTTTAAATTATACATAATACATTAATTTAAGTATAACTCAATGAATGATTTTATATATGTTTGGATGGCATTCATAATAATATAAGCTTACTATTAATTGATATTATTAATTTTTATTTTGTCATCGTAGGAGTAAAAAGTAATAAAAATAAAAATATTTATTAATTGAGTGGGACTGTTGGAGTGGCAGACAGAGATGTCGATAGGATCAGAACTTAAACAAGATATTGAAGGTAAGTGACGTCATATGACATTATAAATTAAATTAAATAAAAAATAAGAGAGAAAAATAAAATAAAAAACATTATTCATCTTTCAGCCGCTATTTAAAACGTATGTGTTCCTAAAACATTACCAGTAGTGACCCATTTCAGAAAATCCAAAAAAGAAAAAAAAAAAAAAAAAAAAAAA